CATAACATTCCTTGTTCCGACTTTGGTACTCCCTTCCGTCTCATCTAGGTCCACATCTCGCACTGACCTCGCGCCGTTTGATGGGTATGTGCCACCACTAGAGGAGCTCCCTTCCAAGATCAGCCATTTGCTACACATGCTTGGCTTCGATTTCCTTCCACTCGCTCTAAGCCACGGTCCAAACGGTCTAGTCACAGTTTGCCCCTCTTTTTCGTACAGAAGGGGGCAAAACTTCTCTGCATGTCCAATCACACCGCAACAAAAGCAGAAACTCGGCAGCTTTTCATACTTAAAGTCTACCCAATACCCTTCTCCCTTTTTGTCAAAAAAAATACACTTCTCCCTTACTCTTCCTTAGCGTGGTCCCAATTTTTAACATTTTACCAGTGTTCATACGAACTCTCACATGCATATAATTCTCCCTTTTTAATCAAATTTTTGCTCAATCCCAAGTGATAAATTCCCCCAAATGATTCCGAATCCTCCTTGCCATTCCCAAATGATCAAAGTAGTACGGTACATTATGAACCTGTACCCAGATCTCAAACTCATCTAACAACATCTTACTCGGGATATCACCCAGTCAAACAACTTTTAACACAATCAAATTCTGATCAAACAACCATGGTCCATTATCCAGAACACGATTCATATCAACAGGATGGAAAAATTTAAACAGATACCTCCGTTCACCAATCTCTTGTATAGCTATACCTTTGCCCGGGTGCCATAGATCAGCCATGAAATCCCTGAAGAATGGAAATCGAATGACCTTGTCCGTGAGAACCGTCCCGACCACCGGAAATTCCTTTGCCTTCACTGCCTCGATCGCCAAATCCCCTTCCTCTTCTTCTTCAATTAGCAGTTCATCCTGTAAACCCCCAATTCCCAACCCTCCATACTTAGCAGCGAGCTGCCCTATCTGTTCGTTTTCCTGTTCGCGGTCCTCCCTATGACCATCAGCACCTGCGTCTTCCATCTCCCTACTGCACCCGTCGTCCGAGACTCACTCCTCGGCACTACCGAGCGGCAAAAACCAGCGCCGCACGATGACGACGAAGTCGCTTGCCCCTCAGCTCTCGCTAGGGTATGTCGGGTATTGATTTTTTACGGATTGTGTTATGCATTTTTTCGGATTAGTTTCCTTATAAAATATCTTTTTTCACTGTACTAATTTTTTACTTTACTTTCTTTTTACTTAACTTATTTATTTAGTTTTTTTTTCTTTTTTTTTTAAATTTATTCGACCATTACTTATCTTTTTTAAGAAAATAGCCCCAAAAAAGGACTAAACTAATCCCTAAATGCAAAAATAGGACCATGTCATTTATCTTCTTATTCTACATTTCTACCATTATCATAACTTAATAGGATAATCATATTTTACATTATAATAATAAAGAAAATAAAGTATATCAATTTATAAAAATATAGTAACAAAAAAAAAAATTAGAACTATTTTTTAAGATATTAAAATAATAAATAGTTGACGAGCACTTTGTCACGGTGCGTCAAAATAAATTCAATACTAGCACTAATACGTAGTATAGGTGAAGTAGAGTTCGTATCCACAGGGAAAGGAATAATTCTCCTTTTAGTAAAACTAGTAAATAAGGGGAGTTTTGGGATTGAGTGATTTGATTTAATTAAATACGAAGATGAACGACTTATATGAGATTTAATTCAAAGATAAAAAGGACTTGGCATTGCTACTTTCCACTTGTTGATATATTTTAGTCGATCATTGTTATATCTATAACTTATTCCCTCTCGAATACTCAATCGAGGAGTATATCCAATTCATCGAGGGTAGTTATTAACGACTGTTCATTAATAACCCTTACTATTAGTCAAGTATAAAACACCGCCATATACCGACTTGATAGTAGCATTTAATCTCTTATCTCCTTGATGAAATCAATTGAGATTGATAACCTCAACCAACGGTTTCGGTTTAACTAACAAAACTAATCCCTCTTAAGTTTATTAACCACGACCGTGCATTAATAAACCGAAGTTACTTACTTGTGAAACCATCAACGATTAGCAAGCATATTCGTCGATCGATTCTAGTAATAATTAATATATGAAACAAAACTAGTTGATCCTTTAAGTAATGTTCAAAATATTAATATGAAATATGAATAGGAATTAATTAATATTCAAGGAAGAATATTAAAGATGATAAATCGTACTATAACTAATGTCAAGATGTTAACTAATTGTCATCTTAGCAACACTCCCCAACATTAATATATAGCGGAAGAAAATAAATACTACTATAACTAATGTCGAGATGTTAACTAATTGTCATCTTAGCAACACTCCCCAACATTAATATATAGGAAGTAAATGAATACCACTATAACTGAAATCGAGATGTTAACTAATTGTCATCTTAGCAACACTTGCCAACATTAATATATAGATAGATTAAGGGTAGAATTAATATTCAAGGGAAGAAGTTAAGAAAATAACTCACAACTTTAATAATCAACAAGCTTCAAGAGCAACACCAAGAAATGGAAGTTTAGCTCCTCATTTGGAGACTAAACATGCTATAAAAATATAAAAGAAATACTATTCTAAACTGAGCTTAAGAGTATGGAAGAAGGAGTGTTTTTAATGTGAAGGAAAGGGGGTGTATTTATAGCAAAATGGAGGTGACAGGGTTCTGTACTCGATCCAGTATTGGGGATACTGGACCGAGTATGAGAGGAAATTTCCAGGAAATTGTGAAAAATAGTCATACTCGACCGAGTATTGCCAATAGTCGACCGAGTATGATAGGATTTTCATCAAATATTCAGCCACGTTCTTTTGCTCCCAGATTTGATTTTGACCAGCGTATCCAACCAATACTCGACCGAGTATTGGCAATACTCGATCGAGTATTGAACAAATATCAAAATCTTCATTTGATCTTCTCCCTTTTGCACATTCTTTGGTCTTAAGGATCTATCCTTTGATTCTTGGGATGATTTTGACCTGTTCTAAGCTCAGAATAATCCTAATCTAAATAAATTACAAATAATTAACGAAAATAAAGTATTACACCAAAAGTGTGTAATTTCCACAACTAGAACTAATAAAACTAGTTAAAAATACAAACATACATAGTAGGAAATTCACACCATCAATAGTGATAAAAAATAATTTAAAGAAACCTTTAAAAGTAAATAAAACTAAATTAAACACATTAAAAATACAAAAGAGTTGGAGGCCTTTCCCACAACCTCGCCACCTCCCAGCAATGCCAACTCCGATCGGTGAAAAAAATGTCATTTTGTACACACACCGCAATATTTTCTCAAAAATTGCCACGAATATGACATTTTCACTCTTTAAAATGCCAAATTATTTCTAAAACATTATCATCAAGATGACATTACTAACACATGTTGGCATTTTTGCCTGTGGTCGGAGCTGGTGGTGTTGGGAGGTTGTTGAAGCGGCAACAGATGCCTGCAAATTGTTTTTTACTTTTTTTTTTATTTTTTATTTTAAGTTTTTAAATTTCTAATTTTATCGTTTTCATTTTTCTAATGTTTTAGTTTTATTTATTTTATTTAATTTTTTTTGTTTTTCTACATTTTTATTATAACAAGAATGTAGAAAAATAAGTTTTAGGGAGAAAAAAGAAAAATGATACGTGGGACCGCTCTTGAAGAAGATTTGTGAAATGTGAGATTTATGGTTGAATGATTTGTAAAGAAAATGAAAAAACCTAGAATAGCAGGTCATCAACCGGTCAGTGACCATCCAATGAAGATGGGGTGCAAAGGTTGGATTATTCCTGAATTACTAAAATGTCGGACTATTGTAAGAAGATGGCTAAAAGGTTGGATTATAGGTAAAAATTGCCTACTAAAAGTCTAAAGTATATGCAATCTTTGTTTATTCAATAACCCCGTATTTTACTTATGATTTTATAAGATCATAATAGTTTCAATAACTCAATCTAATGAAAAATGAATCAACCGCTACCAATCGCGTTATGCAACTTGCTGTCGTGCACGACCAGTCTTTCATTAAAATCCGAATGTCACAAAACTATATTTTCTAAATTCTTTTCTTAAACTAAAGAAAAAGATAAAAGGACTAAATTGCTAACTTCTAAATCCTGGAAGGGCTAATATTTAAATAAATACTCCGTAAAATACAAAAATGTGTAGTTAGTTTTGAAAACACAGTAAGCCAAGATTTAATCTGATAGATTAAAGGTAACTTTGTGGAAAGTTACATTTGATTGTCATTTCAACTTGACATTGTTTCAATCAAACCTGTTTTGTTTGTCTTTTTTTTTTTTGCCAAACAAGGAAATGAATTCTAAATAAAATTTAAAAACAAAACAAAATTTGAGCAAAACATTATAACAACTCCACCATAACCAAAACAATAAGCTAATTCAAGCCTAGTCATGATGAACCCAAGGCATCAAATTTTAACCAAAGAGATCGAGGCCCATGTCCTCATCGGACTCTTCCTCAGGCTCTTCTTTCTTCTTCTCTTCAGCAGAAGCTGCAGGAGTGGAACCAGCAGAGGTTGAGGTAACAGAAGCAGTAGCAACAGCAAACTTGGAAGGGTCCTTAAGATACTCCTTCACTTTATCAGCCATTGGGAAAGAATAATCAGTCTCAACAGCAACGGAAAGGATATTCTTGTATCCATTGATGAGAATGTGAGGAGCAGCCGCCAATGTTGGGTAAGAGATAGCCAGTGAAAGCGATGTGACCATAGAAACACCCAAAGCAAACTTATCGATCAGATCATCTTCAGTCAAATCAAGGACCTCCGGGTTAAAGACATAACCATTTTCATACACGGAATTCACAACAAGGCCATATGAAAACGGCCTAATTCCAAGCTTTGCCAGAAGGGCAGCCTCGGAAGATCCTACTTTTTCACCCTTCTTGATGAGATCAACAGGGGTCATGATTTCAACGGTACGCTTGTTAATCTTTGTTGGGATATTAAGCACTTGGAAGAAAGAAGTCTGGGATGGGTCAAGACCAGTGTTTCCTGGAGGGACCACAACATCAATTGGGGCAACCAACCCAACACGAGCAGGAGCACCAACCTTGTATTTGGATACCTCCTCACTCACTTCTTTCAAATCACCCTTGGTGAAGATCAGTCCAACATTTCCAACCAACAAAGGGATGAGGTTGAGGATTGCAGTGTTTCCCGTTTTCTCAGCGTGAACTCGAATACTCCGCTTGATCATAGTGTTCTTACCCATCATCACAACGGAATCGCTCCTAAGACCCTTCCTAATGTTCTGGAGCTGATTGCTTCCGACGTTATCAGCCACAGCGATCAATATCTGGGTGTACTCATCCAGAAATTGGCAGAGCTTCTCGTCATAAGAGATCTTCTTCTCGGCCTTGGACGCCTTTGGTTTGTCATTTGATCAATGTAATGAGCTTATTCGTTTTAGTTATTAGTAAAATTATTTATTTAATCAAATAATTAAATTTTGATTTTGCGCGCTAGATTCTGTGATGATCAAAATAAGAAAAGCTAAATATAAAATTACTTTTTTTTGCCTAAATTGAATGAAGTTAAGAAGTCACATTTATCCACTATACTTATTTGGGTCATAGTTATCGATAATTTCTTTACTTAATACAGGATGATCAATATCGTAGTTGAAAAATAGGAAGTTGTTTAATAAATCTTAAAAGAAAAACTTTTATACGCAATATTACTGTCATAAAAAACGTAATGAGAATCATGAATTTTAATATATTTTGTAAAAGGTAGAGTTAGAATGAAAAAGTTATAACATTTTGAATAAAAATAGATTTTCAAAATAAGGATAATGGATAACAATATGTTTTATTGATATTTAGTGACTATAATAAAAAACTAACCCTTATAATTAAAAAATGCATATATGCTCACTTTTCATTTAAAATAACGTCCCGTTTGGTGACCCTATTTTTGGATTTATAAACCTTATGAGTCATTTTTTCATCAAATACTAAAATTTTGATTCCGCACGTTGGATTTTGTTATGATCAAAATAAGAAAGGTTGGACTTACTTTTCTATTTTGGTCGGATGAAGTTACTCTGAAACTTTTAGCTACTTTTACTAATAAATGTTTCTTCATTTTTATAAATAGAATATATTTTAAATTTTTTCCCATAATTTAGTAGATTCAACAAGTTTGGCGGTTTCAAAAAGAACTTCATCAATTTTGGTAGATTCGCCCAATTTATTTGTTACCAAACAGACTTTAAATAACATTTTAATTGAAAAAGATGTTCAATACTACCTCCGGTTTTTATTTAATTTCACACTTTGACTTCACACAAAATAAGAAAAAAAATTTGACTTTACTGTAGTGTACACTGTTAAGGCACTGTTTGACACTGTTGAGACACTGTTTAGCACTGTTGAGACACTGTTTGGCACTGTTTTGATGTAGATTTCTTTGCCAAAAAAGGAAATAAGGAAATGTGAAGTTTATTTTAGACCGTCCCAAAAAAGAAAGTGTGAAGTTTAATAAAAACCGGAGGGAGTATATGATAGTATTGTCAATGTAAAATAGATCAATGGTTTTAAAATGTCACATGATGCGATGAAGTAGCTCAATGAGAGTTATGCAGGGCATGAGCAGTAAAATATATAGAGGCATAGAATTGATGGGGCCCAAGGTATAAAAACCTTCATTTTCTTCAAAGTGTTATAAATTGTCATTCTTGCTCTAACTTCTATAAAATATATATCAAAAATCATAATCTATTTATATATAAGAAAGTAGATAGATCAATTGTTAGCCGGCTAACAATTTAGCGGTAGAAATATCTTTCTCATACGTACCACTTTTATGTATAATAAGAATATAAGCCGGCTAACAATTGGGCGAGAGAAATTTCTCTCTCTCATATGTTGTGATTTTAGGTATTAGGATATAAGCTTGTGAACGGAAAACTTTCTCTCCCATATGTAGATTTTTTAAGAATAAGATAAGTCGGCTAACAATTGTGCGGAAAAATTTATCTCTCATATGTAGTACTTTTAAATATAGGGTGAGATTAAGCCGGCTAACACTTGAGCGGAATAATTTTCTCTCTCATATGTGATTTTAGGAATAAGACGATAAGCTTTCTAAAAATTGAGCGGGGTAAATTTCTCTATCCTATGTAATGCTTTTAGATATTAGAAGATAAGCTTGCCAACAATTGAGTGGGGGAGTTGAGCGAGATAATTTTCTCTTTCATATGTAGTTATTTTAGGTACTAGACTAAACTAAAGATAAGCTTGCTAACAATTGAGTGGGAGAACTTTCTCTCATACATATAGTTAGTTCTGTTAAGTATAAGATAAGCCAACTAACAATTTAGTGGTAGAATTATATTTGTAACACCCCCAAATTTCCCACCAAAAAATACATTTGAATAATGATTTATTCAAAGTAAATAATAATTTATTTGAAAACATCAGAGTCTTTCAGCGGAAAAATCAAAGGGAAACAGGGGCGTTACCGCCACACTCGGTTCTCACATAACCGAGTGCACAGGCTATCCACCACCAACAATTTAATAATCTCAACCACCTCAAATTCAATCCAAATATAATGCAATCCAATAATCCAACAACTCAAATCCAATCCAGTCAAATATAATTCTCCTCAAAACCTCAAAACCAATTCACCTCAATGGAATCCAAATCCAAATAAATCCAACTATAATCCAATCATTCAAACTCAATCAAAGCCAATGGAAGCCGAACTCCTACCTTAAGTGTGCACACCCCCTAAAAGAGATTCCAAGCTCTCCGGGTAATAAAAAGTCCGAGTAGTCGTGATTTTTCTACCGACTACTACAATTAAGCTGGGATGCTCCACTTTTGGGAGATCCCTGGTGGAATTAGACTTATAGTCATTACCACTCACCAAATCCACATTTCTCCGAGTACTCACAAAAATCATAATCCAATCTCAATTTCAAGTATCATAACATCAATCAAAATGGATATGAAATCCAAATTCCACAAAATTATTCACAATGAAATTATTAACTCCAACTCATCATACTCAAATACTCCCTCCGTCCCTAAATAAACTTCTAACTTTCCTTTTTCGTCCGTCCCAATTAAAATTTCCACTTTCCCTTTTTGGCAAAGAATTTGTGATTCATAACAATTCTTACACAATTCTCTCTCCTCTGCACAACTCTCCACCACACAATACCCACTATCTTAAACTGTGTGCCAAACCTATTTGGAAGATAAATTAGGGACAGAGGGAGTATACCATAAATAGTCCAAAATATAGGATACTTCATAAATAGCTCAAAGCTCAAATCTCAATCCAATAACAATTCATATGTAAATTCAAATGCTCAAAATATCACCCAATATAAAAATACTCAAATCTCGAATATATATAATTCACAATCACAATTGATACGTAAAATCTCATTAACTATCATATACTCAAATGATCTCAAATAATAGTCACAAATAAATTTATATGGGAAAAGCATGAAACTTGGTTGACATAGTACTTACCTCGAATCGCGATAATTCCTAACCGAAGCTTCTACCTCGACCTTCTCCAAATTCACCTTCTAGAATATTAAAATTCTAGAATTAATAATTGTTCTAGTCCTTTGCGAATAATTAACCCATTATGATTTAAATTCATTCTTTCATGAATAATCACCTTTATTCATTTATTCGAATAATAATTCATTAATCTGAAATAATCCCTTTATTATGGAATATCTACGTTGGTTGGTTTTATTCCATCTAATCTGATCAGTCACTTCGTTGATCAGCCACTTTGTTTTCCTTTAATCAGTATACTTTTATACTTATATATAATTGTCTCAAATAAATAGGCAATGACATCTGCCGAACATAGCATATTTTGTACACATTAATTTACCGGCATTTGTGATTTTGTTAAGTATTACTTTTATCCGGTCAACATAATCTTTATAAAAATGTCACTTTTATTATTGAAACATTTTTATCTTACTAAAGTTTTCACTGATGTTAAAATTTTATCTGATTCACTTAATTATTAAAATCACTACAAAAAAATACGCGCGTAGTCACGGATTTAGTCACGGACGCCAGTTCAAAATTTCCGTGACTAAATGACTTAGTCACGGTCGCTGGCCGTGACTAAATCCGTGACTTAATGGGCGTGACTAAATGAAGTCACGGCCACATTAACCGTGACTAAATGTAGTCACGGAATAGTCACGGCCAATGACCGTGACTATTGTCATGCCGGAAACCCCACACCGACGTCTTAGTCACGGCTGTTGACCGTGACTATTGTTTTTTTTTAAATAAAATTTAGTCACGGTTGTGGACCGTGACTAAAGTTTCAAATTTTCACAAATTTAAAAATACCGCCCGCGGTTGTTAACGTATTTTGAAATTTTTGAAATATTAGTCACGGTTGTAGACCGTGACTAATATTTTTTTTTAAAAAAAAATTTAAATAAAAACAAATAATATTTTCGGATTAACTGTAGTCACGGATATGGCCATGACTAATATTTTTTTAAAAAAAGAATCGAGTTTTTTTTTTAAATGTTTTAAATTATTTTTACAAATTATATTTAAAAATGTTTTTTGAAAATTTTGTTATTGAAAATATTACTTAATAAATATTACTTAATAAAAATTATTTTTATAAATTTTACATTTTAAAGGTTATGACAACAAAGTATAAATTTTACATTTTAAATATTACTTAAAGAAAAAATTACATTTTAAAGCAATTAAAAGACATACAATAAACTTAATAAATATTATGCCAAACTTTTTAATGTTATGACAACAAAGTATAAATGTATGATGATTACATGTCCGTTCATCGTCGGACTCCATTATGAAAAAAATTACGATTTTCTTCATCTTCATCATCATCAACAAGAAACTCATTTGGGTTCACGGGGGGGGGGGGGGGGGGGGGGGGGGTCTTCGGACTGCTGCACGGGGTCATCGGGTCGGGTTCCTCCTCGGGGTCGATGGCTTGGTGTACCACTACCTCCTCCGGATGACCTCGCAAAATCAAAGGACATAGATCCGAAATTCGGGGAGATCATTGGCATGCCACCGTATCCGGAGTTGGAGAAAAAACCCATACCGCCCATGTGCGGAACTTGAGGAGTTAGTTTGCTCATGGTGGAATACGTACGGAGTACGAAAAGGCTGGTGCGGAGGCTGGAATCCGGCACGCATGAACCGTTCCATCTCCTCCAGCCGGGCTTTTGTTTCTTCCTCTCTTTTCCGCTGCTCCTCCCATCGCCGTTCGTGCTCCGCCAGTTCACGCTGCATTTGGGCCATACGAGGATCTTCTCCCGACCTTGACCGAGAAGAGGAAGCGCCGGTGCTTCGATCATACAAAATCCGCTGCCCCTCAGCCCCCAAGCACGGAACCCGACCCTTGTAAACCCCGGCAGCCTCAATGGCCGCCTCATCATCCGCATCGGAATCGAGCTCATCCTCCTGGGTCAAGTCTCGCTCCGCACGCTGCCTGTCAACGGATTCATTGTACTTCGACTGCATTTAAAACAAAATTAAATATTACATGCTTAGATTTGAAATGTTACTAACTAACAAAATATGATGTAATATACTTCGAAGTCAGCGAGGCGGGGGTGGCAGATTGTCTTCAGATTCCTCGCCGTGCTTTGTCCAGCTATGCTTGACGAGGTTGAGAATATTAACCTTCTTCTTCTCAGGACCAGCCTACATGGTGTAAAAAGGCTTAAGAAAATTTTGTATAATCAAGGGTCGTGGAGATGTAAGTTTTTTTGAATAACACTTACAAGAGTTTCTTTATGGGCATACTGGGATTTGCGACCCTCGTGCCACTGCGTCTCCAAGGCCTTCTCGGACATCCGGTTTTTCTTACCGGATTCACTTCTGGCCAAGAATTTCGGATCCGAAGACCAGTGGCGACAAAGGTTGGTCCACACTTCATCCGAAACCCATCTAGGCTTTCTCCCACTGTTTCGGGCACGCTTAAAAGTGGGCCGAAGCCAGACCGAAATCCTAGCATTGTAGGCTCTAAGAATATCAACACCGTTTGCGTGAGTCCAGTGATAGCGAGCCTTTATTAAAAAAATTGGATTAATTAATCATTTGTTATATTAGACTACTACAATTATGCAGGGGACATTCATTTACTTTTACCTTAAATAGGTTCCACCATAGTTCGCGGACCTTGTGATCAACATCGGAGTAGGAGGCCCAATTGCCAAGAAAGTGTCCTCCTATTATGTTTTTTATGCCTTGAAACACTGCTTTGTCACTTCAAAAAATTAAGAGTATTTATTTATATGAGATTTGGTTGGATTATTTGACATTATATAAAATTAATTGACTTATGGTTTGTTCATAACTACTTACAAAGCAACTTGGGTTGGGGTCACCCAAACAACTCTTTCATTGTTGCGCTCCGCTTCGGTCATGGGCGCAAAGTTAGGCTGGGCGGCCGATGTCGATTGTTCATCAATCATCTAAAATACATTAATTTATTTTGTTTTTTGTTAGTGTGATTGTAATAGAAGATTAATTTTTTTATAAGTATTATCAATTGAAAATGTGTATAACATATTAAAATGTGTATAAGTTTAATATGAGGGTTCCAATAATTGCTAATAAACAAATCCTATAATTATCAATGAGTTGACACAGTCGACCGAAGAATCAACCGGTTGGAGCTTATCAATGAGTTGACACAGTCGATTCATTGATAAGCTCTATCCGGGCGATTTTTCGGGCTACGGCTTGAACCATGGATGGGCTACATCACATGTAGCGACATAATGTAAGTACATGCGTTTGGGAGAGTCCGTCGATGGCTAAAGCCGTAGCCAGAAAAATCGACCGGTTGGAGCTTATCAACGATTTGACTGGGTCAACTCATTGATAAGCTCCAACTGGTCAATTCTTCGATTGACTGGGTCAACTCATTGATAAATTATATATTCGTTTATTACAAATTATTGGACCCCTCATATTTAATTTATATACAGTTTAATATTTTATACACATTTACAATTGTAAGTAACATGTTAAACTTTTTGCAAAGTTTACATGAGAGGCCATCATTTTTTTTTATGTTTTAGATACATGAGTTTTATACAATTTTTATAAACAGTATTCTATTTTTTTCAAAAACAGTTTATAAAAAAAGTTTTTATATACTTTTTAAATAAAAAACAGTTTTCTAGAAAAACAGTATACTTTGAGTTTATACAAAAAACGGTATACTTTGAGTTTATACAAATAACAGTTTTATACTTTTTTAATTAAATTACAAAAACAGTTTATATAAAACAGTTTTTATAAAAACAGTTTTTAAGTAAACCAAATTTTCATTTAAAACAGTTTTTATAAAAACTGTTTTTACAAAATCTGTTTTTATATAAAACAGTTTTTATAAAAACAGTTTTTATAACAACTGTTTATTTAACACTTTTTTATATTAAATAGTTGTTAACACATATGTTAATTAATCACTTTTTACAAAAAAAAAAACTGTTTTTACAAAAATTTGTATAATAATTAGTTTTTACAAAATTCAGTTTATTATAAATATCAATTTTTAGAAAAAAAGTTAAACTATTTTTACAAAAATCAGTTTTATAGTTTTTTAAAAAAAAGCACTTTACCATTTTGCTAGAAAACTGTTTTATAAAAAAAACAGTTTTTAATATCCAGTTTTTAAAAAACAGTTTTTTTTTTTTAAACTGCTTATATCCAGATATAAAAAAGACTGTTTTGTTCTTTTTTAAATAACTATAAAAACAGTTTATATCCAAATTTTACTTTTTATATTTATAAAAACTGTTAAAAACTGTTTATAAAAACTGTTTATAAAAATTTGTAAAACTATAAAACTGTTTATAAAATAATTTGAATACTTTTTATAAAAAATTTTGATAAAAATTTGTAAAATTATAATTAAACATGTTAAGTTTGTGAAAGCTTAACATGAGGGGGAATGTTTTTTTAAATATTTCGGGTTAAAGCATGAAAAACATAAACATTGTATGACTATAGAGAGGCATGCATATCAAACACTAAACATATATATTAAATATCATTAATCATGCATATGAACATATATTAAACATATAATAATCTAAATCATTTAAACATAATTAAACATGTTATAATAATCTAAATCATGCATACAAAACATATAAATCATGCATATTAAACATATAAACTAAATCATGTTATATTAAACATATAAAACATCTAACAAACTAAATTATATTAAACATGTATACCAACTAAAGCACATGTATTTCTTGAAATTTATTTCGACATGTATTAAACATTATTCGAAAATTATATTTCAAATATATACTATTAAACATGTTATATTGAAATTTAATACTAAACATGGATTTCGAAAATTATATTTCGAATATTACAGAACATTATATTTCGAAAAAACTCATGTATATAATCATGCATTTTAGTGTATTTCAACAAAAGAGCATGCACTTTAATAATGGAACATACTTATAATAACATGCATTTTTGGAATAAAAATCAAATACTAAAAATAAGAATGAAAAGTCATTAAAATTTAGAACACATAACCTTGATGAAGAGAAGGGGAAGATCGACGGAGGTAGTTAACGGAGAGCGGCGGCGGCGGCCGGTGGCGACGGATGGTGGAAGGCGGCGGTGGAGGGCGGTGGAGATTGCCGGAATGAGAGAAGAAGTAAAGGGAGAAGAGAGTTTTAGGGTTGGGAGAGTGGTGGGAATGAAAAATTTCACAAAGGGTTATTTTTATATAAGCTGTTAGTCACGGTCATAGTCACGGCTCTGACCGTGACTAAAGCCTTCGTAAATGCCGAAGTCAGGCCTGAAGGTCAGAGCCGCCGCTGACCGGAATAATCACGGTCAGAGCCGTGACTATGACCGTGACTAATTTTAAATTTTAAAAATACTCACGGTCATAGTCACGGCTCTGACCGTGACTTTTCCGGTCAGCGGCGGCTCTGACCGTCATGCCTGACTTCGGCATTTACGAAGGCTTTAGTCACGGTCAGAGCCGTGACTATGACCGTGACTGTTCAATTACAAAAATAACTCCCCTTCGACCCAAGCGCTTTGTGCAAAAAAAAATGACTAATACATCACCAAATTCGTGTAAGTTGTTTATTAAAATGTCAAATTATTACAATATTCAGATTATGAAAAGTAAATTAATTTTATTTATGAATTTCTGTTTTCTTTGTAATTTTGTATTTTCGAAGTATTTAATATTGTGGAAACAGTTAAATTTGTAGTGTGGACTGTGGAGTATTAAATAAACTGCTTTCAATTTATCTGGTTTCAATCTATATCTGAACCGTGTATCTATTCACCTTCTTTCTGATATTGAGCGTTTCTGGAAGGTGTGTTTCTGGCATCACTTCAACACGTCCGTCAATTGGAAATAATTTTTGAATTTTCGATTAATTGGATGTTATAGTTTTGAATTTTTGTTTTTGAATTTTTTGTTTTGAATTTTTAAAGTTTTGAAAACTTGTTGTTGAATTAATATGGAGTAATTTTTAGTTCATAAATTATCATGAAAAAGGAAAAAAATCAAATATTGTTGGAGTAATATAATGATGAAGAAAAGAGCACAAATATTAGAAGTCAATAAAATTGAAATTACAACAGCACTATTATTCGCTATCAGAATCGTCATTTTCTACATATACAGTATCTTCTTCTGTATTTGAACCGTCTATCCATTCACCTTCTTCATGATATTGAGCGTTTTGTTGTGCTACATACATTTCCTCAATTTCGCGCTCAGATGGAATGGTTAGGTCCGGAAGGTGCGTTTCTGGCATGACTTCAACAAGTCCGCCATTTGGATCACTTAATTGGACGTTATAGTTGACCGTCTCAACAATAGGCGGAGGTGGGAAAAATTGTTGCTGAAAAGCATCTAGATCAACGTCCTTGTATTGAGTTTGTGATTTAATTTTGTTCGGGCGGACAGGACATGCACACACCCAAGGATTCTGTGTTCGCCTCGTTGAAGGATATTCTGCATAATAAATCTGCGCTGCTTGTTGGGCGAGTATGAAAGGCTCATTTTTCGGGTACACACGAGAGTGGTTGACGTCAATCATATTATACTTCGGATTTTTGCGCACGCCACGTGTGGGATCGACCCATGTGCAGCGGAACAGAACGCATGTCAATTTTTGCGCACTAGAAGGCATCTCAAGTTCCAGAATCTCCTGCAGGACACCAAAAAAATTGGTTTCCGAGTTATCATAACTGATGGTCGGGACACATAACCCGTTGTTCGTTGTTGGTCGGCCCTGTCCGTAATCGGCTGTGTGATATGTGTAACCGTTTATCACATATTGCCGCCACACTTTGGCACTGGCACCTGGGCCCCACGCTAATGATACTAACAAAGGGTCGACAATCCCACGACTATTGATCTGTAAATATAAACATGATAATAACATTAGGTAAATATTGAAAAATCTTACTTAATAATATATATAATTAATGTGTGTATATATATACCTGATACTTGTACCAATTTACAAAATCAGAGTCCACCAATGCATCAATTTCAGTCTCAGGAAAGGCTGATAAAGAAGCTCGGAATTCACTGTGAAGTCCAAAATAAAAAATTAACTACAAATTTAATTTATAAGTATTACAATTATAAGTACAAATTTAACTTACTGATAAAACGGTGAGATTTCTGGACAATTCATGAGGATATAAGTATGCGCAATTTGCAATTCCCCACCCAGGATGCATCGTTGTGTCGCAGCACCTTTACCTCTGCCTGGGTAATTGAAGATGGAAACTACATTTTCATATAAATCCTCGCCAATGTCATCGTTCCGGGCAGGTCTCTTCCTTCTGGTGATGACGTCACACTCGAAGTAAAAAAACGAGAACGTTGAGATTTCTTGTTGAAGATACGTTTGACAAATTGAAGCCTCAA